GGTTATGCTCTGGTTATGTTCTGGATTTGCACAGGTTATGTTCAGGTTATGCTCTGGTCATGTTCTTGATATGCTCTGGTTATGTTCAGGTTACATTCTGGTTATGTTGTGGTTATGTTCAGGGTATTTCTGGTTATTTGAAGATGTGCTCTGGATATGTTCAGGATATGTTCAGCTTATGATTAGGTTATGTTGTTATGCTCTGGTTATGTCCAGGAAGTGCTCTGATTATGTTCCGGTTATGTTCAGGATATGTTTAGGTTTATAGATCACAAACCAATGTTCCACCAATCAGTGGTGAGCAAAGTGACCCAAGTATTAACTGCCCCCCTAAAAATAAGGTCACTATAGTAAAACTCTTATAGAAAAACATCTGTTATTACCTACCCCCTGAGGATCTTATTAATAATAATGTTTGTTTTACCTTTCTGCAGAAGCAGGACAGTGCGGCGCTGGACATGGAGCGGGTCAGTAAGGAGCTGGAGGTGTTGCGGAAGCAGTGTGAGGCGGTGCAGGAGGAGCTGCAGGAGGCGCTGCAGGAGGCAGAGGTGGCCAAATGCAGGAGAGACTGGGCCTTCCAGGAGAGAGACAAGATCGTGGCTGAGAGGGAGAGCATACGGTGAATAATAATAATAAATCGTATATTTTTAACCAAGTGTGATCTGACATTAATGAAATATGAAAAACAAACAAACACATCTTAAAAACATTGACTTTCATGTCAGAATGAGTCTATAATTCAAGTTATGACTGCAAAAATGTCCGTGTTTGTGTTTGTTTTTAAATTTGTTAGAATGTAGTTTTGCAATCTCAAATGAATGTGTGTGTTAATATCAGTGTATGAGTGCAAGTGTGATTTTAGACGCAGTTTTGAACGAATCATTTGAATAAGTGGTTCAGCTTAAGAGTTTTCATTTGTGTTTGTGCATCATTTTTGTGCACATAAATGGATTTTGTGCATTTGCATTTTGTATTTTGTGTGCACTATGTAATTGTGTATGTATGTGTGCTTCAGGACGTTGTGTGATAATCTGCGGCGTGAGCGGGATCGAGCGGTCAGTGATCTGGCTGATGCACTGCGAAACCTGGACGACCTGCGGAAACAGAAAAACGATGCGGTTCGGGAACTGAAGGAGCTGAAGTGAGAATCTTAGATCAGTGCAGAGATCAGAGAATGGAGGAGGAAATCTGTCTGAATGATGGAGAAATGAATCCTCTGTGTTTCAGGGAATGCATGGACGAGCAGCTGGAGAAAGAGGCGCGCTTCCGTCAGCTGATGGCGCACAATTCCCACGACTCAGCCATCGATACCGACTCTCTGGAGTGGGAGACGGAGACGGTGGAGTTCCAGAGGAGCACGGTATGGAGAGATCTGTTAATAAAGTCACATGCTGCATCCCAATTTACATAATTATACATAATTTTATACTAATTAACATTAGAAATATTGTCCTCAAGTAACTGTTACATTGATGTTGTTACACAAAATTATTGAATGGAAGTCAATTAAACAGAAGAAGAAAAAATGAAATAATTAAAATTCTGTTAAACTAAACTATTAAATCTATATATTAAAACCTTGTTGTAGTTAGTAGTTGTCATTGTAGTAGTCGTCATAGTCATCTAGTAGTAGTAGTCATCATCGTCATAGTTAGTTGTTGTCATCATAGTCGTCGTAGCTAGTAGTTGTCATCGTAGTAGTAGTAGTCATCCTCGTCGTAGTAGTAGTCGTCGTCATCGTAGTAGTTGCATTAGCCGTAGCAGTAATAGTCGTCGTTGTAGTATTACTAATAATGCATTGTCTAAAAATAACTTTTGTTTTGTAATAAATAATAAATGAAATTAATTATCAATAAAAGTAATAAATAACTTATTAAATCTATATAATAAAGCCTCTAGGAAAAAAAGAAAAATGATTTTAAAATAAATGTTTATAAAAAAAAATACAAATAAAAAAAAAATATATAAAATATTATGTTGTAAAACTGTTATTATTATTAAATTGTTTAAAAACTAATTATAATATGCCACAGCAATATCACCCTGCAGCCCAAGGTTATTCACTGAAGCTAAGCAGGGCTGAGCCTGGTCAGTCAAAAAGGTTGCTGTTTTAAGTGGTGTTAGAGGCCAGCAGGGGGCGCTCAACCTGTGGTCTGTATGAGTCCTAATGCCCCAGGATAGTGAATACTGTCAGTGGGCACCTTCTTTTAGATGAGACGTTAAACCAAGGTCCTGACTCTTTGTGCTCATTAATAACCCCATGGCACTTCTGGTAAAGAGCAGGGGTGTGACCCCGGTGTCCTGGCCAAAGTCCCTCTATCGGCCCTTACGATCATGGCCTCCCAATCATCCCCATCCACAGAATTGGCTCTATCACTGTCTCTCCACTCCATACACATTACATTACATATACATATCATTGTATATCATTATGTTTTGTATATTTTTATATATTATATCATCATTTTAATTGACCAAGCACACACTGTTATTTTCATACAGGACAACATGGATTTGAGCGCTTTGGGTTTTGATATCTCAGAGGGCGTGAGTGACCCGTATCTCCCCGGGGATTATGGGATATTTGTGAGTAAAGTGGACAAAGGAAGTATTGCAGAGGGCAGGTTAAGGTGAGTGAACACTGTGCTGTGTCTCCAACAACAGTGTTTCTCAACCATGTTCTTTGAGGACCACCAGCTCAGCACAATATCCATGTCTCCTTAACCAAAACCACCTGATTCAGATCATCAGCTCATCAGCAGAGACTGAGACACCTTCAGAACATGCAGTAATGGTGGTCCTCCAGAAACATGGTGGAGAAACACTGATCTACAATATACAGCAGTCGTGTGTGTGTGTGTGTGTGTGTGTGCTTCTCACAGCATTTTCTGTCTCCTCAGAGTTAATGATTGGCTGTTGAAGATCAATGATGTGGATCTGGCCAATAAGGACCGGCAGCAGGTCATAAAGGCGGTGTTCAGCGGTGGCGGTGGTGTTATTAACATGCTGGTGCGCAGGAGAAAATCTCTCGGAGGAAAAACTGTGACTTCTGTTCATCTGAACCTCGCCGGACAGAAAGGTCAGAGATCAGGACACAGAGGGATCCTGCTGTTGCTAGAAGGGATACAGATGTTAACCTTTGTGTACTGATCAGACTGACTCCTCTTTGGTTATGTTAGGGGCTGTTTTTGCCCCATTCACTTTCATTATAATCACATTTATTGGTCGCAAGAAATAACACATTGTCCTTGTTCCCAACAGGGAAAACCAGCAACAATCAAGAATGCATGATCATCTGCTGTCATGAGTTTACAATCAATAAATGTGATTATAATAGAAGTCAATGGAGCAAAAACAGCAGCAACATCACCAAAGAGGAGTCAATCTGAACAGTGTGTTGTTGAATTCCCAAAATATGTACCAAAATAAGATTTGTCAGCCAAAATCATTCCAAATGAGAAAGCGGTGGCCAAATTAAGACTCAAAATCAGCCCAGAGTGGATGAAAACCACCCAACAGCACACGGGGTTAACATTAAACGACTCCTGATGCAGTGTTTCTCTGTGTGTGTGTTCAGACTGTGGTGTAGGTCTGGAGAGTGGTGTGTTTGTATCGTCTGTATCTCCCGGCAGTCCTGCGGCTAAAGATGCTTCGGTGTGTCCTGGCGATCGAATCCTCAATGTAAGTCAAACTTCCTCGTTTGTGTTTCCATCTTGTTTCTGTGCAGTCTGTGATTGTTTTAACGCTGTGGGGATTTTCTACTGACTCTGTAATCTCTGCTTCTTTTAAAAGAATGAATTAATTCCAATGTCATATTTATCTTTAAACCATCCAAGATGAACACAAAAACGCACTCAGTAAAATGCGGTTTCATTTATTTTAGATAATCTTACTTAAACTTCTGGGTATTATAATATTATGATGGATATTGCATATGTCTCAGTCGGCCTACAGAACTTCAGTAAAAGTAATTTTTTCATATTTTACATATATTTATTTGTGTTCGGGTTTTTCTGTTTTTTAGGTTCTTTAAATTAATTTTTTTAATAGAGTTTAAATTACATTTTTTAAATATACATTATATCCATATTAAATTTCTTATTTGTATTGTCATGAACTAAATATTTGTATATAATGTGTAAAACAATCATGTTTAATTTAGTACAACAATATTATTGCAATAATAATGTCAATTATTTAGTTTAAAATTTAAATACTTAAATGACTGAAATCTTCATCGTAGTAGTGGTTGTTGTTGTTGTTGTAGTAGTAGTAGTAGTCGTCGTAGTAGTGGTCGTCGTTGTAGTAATAGTAGTCATAGTCAGTCATAGTCGTTGTTGTAGTAGTAGTCATCTTCGTTGTTGTAGTAATAGTAGTTGTCGTCGTCATCATCGTAGTTAGTAGTTATCATCAAAGTAGTCGTCATCATTGTAGTAGTAGTCATCGTCGTAGTTAGAAGTTGTCATCGTAGTTAGTAGTCATCATCGTTGTAGTTAGTAGTTGTCTTAGTCATCGTAGTTAGTAGTCGTCATCGTCGTAGTCATCGTAGTAGTAGTTATCATCGTCGTAGTTAGTAGTTGTTTTCAAAGTAGTTGTCATCATAGTAATAGTCATCATCGTCGTAGTTGTCATCGTAGTTATCGTAGTTAGTAGTCGTCATCGTCGTAGTTAGTAGTTGTCGTAGTCATCGTAGTTAGTAGTCGTCATTGTTGTAGTCATCGTAGTTAGTAGTCGTCATTGTTGTAGTCATCGTCGTAGTTAGTAGTTGTCGTAGTCATCGTAGTTAGTAGTTGTCATTGTTGTATTCATCGTATTAGTAGTCGTCATCCTAGTAGTTGTTGTTAAAGCAGTCATCATCATCATAGTAGTAGTCATCATTGTAGTTAGTAGTCGTCATCATCGTAGTCATCATAGTAGTAGTCATCATTGTCGTAGTTAGTAGTTGTCATCGTAGTCATCGTAGTTAGTAGTCAACATCGTCGTAGTCATCATCATCATCCTCGTAGTTGTCGTTGTAGTAGTCGTCATCATAGTAGTAGTAGTCATCCTCGTTGTAGTAGTGGTCGTCGTCATTGTAATAGTTGCAGAAGCTGTAGTAGTAGTCTTCATCATAGTATTACTAATAATGCATTGTCTAAAAATAACATCAATTATCAATAAAAGTAATAAATAATGTTAAAATCGAAAGAAAAAATTACTTTTCTTTCTTTTTTGTCTCTGGATGATTCCAGAAGCCTGTTTTATTTTCTGTGGTTTTCCAGAGTGTGCAGTGTGATGTGAATAAACGTGTCCTGCAGTAGATTCAGCTGATCAGTGCTGATTATTCTGAGTTTGATAAATGTTCTCTGTGGCAGATTAACGGGATCTCTCTGGATAATAAACCCTTGAGTGAGTGTGAGAATCTCCTGCGCAGCTGCAGAGACTCTGTTTCCATCTCTCTCCTGAAGGTCAGCGTTATTCAATAATCACCTTCAGTTTCTCTTTTATTCTGGCTACGTTCACATTGTCAGACATGAATTTGATTTTTTTTCATGAATTGAATTCTCACATTTATTTATTTATTTATTTTTGCATGGCTGTTTACCTTGTTGCAGTTCTCACTTTTTTCATCCCACAAATCTTACGTTTTTTGTCATAATTCAGGTTGTCACAATTCTCACTTTTTTATGAGGTCATTCTTGCTTTTTTATGAACTCTCACTTTTTATATCACAAATCTCATTTTTTGTGAACTTATTTTTTTTCATGCTGCAATTCTCAGCTTTTTGTCAAGTTCACTTTTTATCAAAATTATTTTTCATGATACAATTCTTACTTTTTTGTCACAATTCTTGCTCTTTCGTCAGTTCTTCTTTTTTTAATCACAGTTAAAGTGTCACAATTTGAACTTTTTTGTCAGATCTCACTTTTTTATTCATGTCGCAATTCTTTTTTTTTTTGGACAATACTTGCATTTTTTGGTCATTTTTCACTTTTTCTCTTTGTCTATTCTCACTTTTTTCATTTTGCAATTCTCACTTTTTTAATAAAATTATTATTTTCATGCCACAATTATTGCTTTTTGTCATAATTCTCATTTTTATATATCACAATTTTCACTTTTTTCATGTCAATATTCTCACATTTTTAGCAATTCTCACATTTTTATACCCTAAATCATGTCAAAATTCTCACTTTTAATGTCACAATTTTTTTTTTAAAGTTGCAATTCTTTTTTTGGTCATTCATTCATTCATTTTTCTTCAGCTTAGTCCCCTATATCAGGGGTCACCAAAGCCGAATGAACCGCCAACTTATCCAGCATATGTTTTACACAGTGAATGCCCTTCCAGCAACACCCCAGTACTGGGAAACACCCAAACACACTCATTAACACACACACACACACACTCATACATTGTCCAGTGTAGTTGATCAGTTCCTCTATAGCGCATGTGTTTGGACTGTGGGGGAAACGGGAGCACCCGAAGGAAACCCACGCCAACACCAGGAGAACATGCAAACTCCACACAGAAACACCAACTCACCCAACCTTCTTGCTGTAAGGCCACAGTGCTAACCGCTGAGCCACAGTGCTGCCCCCTTTTTTTGTGAATTTTTATATTTTTCATCACTTTTTTGCTGTCACAGCTCTCCCTGTATGTGTCTGCAGTGTGACCATACCCCTCTCACTCTTCCTCTGTGCAGTTTTTCCCACAGAGTGTTTCTGTTCAGAGCATCTCCGAGATCCAGCGTGACGGTGAGAGAAACTCGAACACAGATCCGCCCCCGCGGCCCAGCAGAAAGCCCAGCAGCATCAGCACCAGCAGCAGCATTAGCATCCGTAAAGAGACGTACAGCCCGGAGCACGTGTACCGCCCGGAGCCGTACCACCAGATCTGCCTGCACCCCAAACGCCCGCTCACCTTCCATCCGGCATCACCAGCAGACAACACACAGCAGCGCCAGAGACCCACCGGCGGCACCTGGCCCAAAATCATCCCGGTCGCCATGAACACATCGGACAGCATCCCTGTTGCCATGGCGACTGCCGACAGCATCCCTCCCCTATCGATTTTCAAGACGCCAAAAAAGCGCAAGTCAATATTCGATGCTGATGTGTTCAAACGTCCCGAGACGCTGGAGTACGTGAAGCACACGCACACACACTCTCCGCAGGGCTCCTGGACGGATACACCAGCGCCGCCCGATCCGCCCAAACGCAGCGACTCCTTCAAGTTTAAGCACAAGACACAGGGCAGCTCGGCGTCAGACTCCACCGTCACCGCAGGCTCTCCGCCAGCCACGCCGGTGCAGGAGTCGAGCAGCGCTGATGCGGATGCGTGTGTGTTGCAGGACGGGTGTGTGAACAACACTGACCCGATAGAGCTGCAGAGAGGAAGACCCAAATCTGCACCCGCACCGCGCCGCAACCTCACGCCACTCAAGATGCCCTACACACAGGTATACACACACTGATGTTAAACACTGTGCATTCATATATGCATTCATACATTAATTCATTCATTCATGCATGCATTCATTTAGCACTCATTCATTCATACATTCATTCATTAATTCATGCATGCATTCATGTAGCACTCATTCATTAATGCATTCATTTATTCATTCGTACAAGCATTTATTCATCCATTTACTAGTTTGTGCATTCATTCTTTCATGCATGCATTCATTTATTCATGTATTCAGTCATTCATGCATTTAAACATTCATGTGTTCATTCATTCAGCACAAGTTTATTCATGCATTTATTCGTTGGTTCATGCATTCATTCATTCAGCGCTATTTTAATAAATAATTAATTAGTTCATTCATTCACACATTAATAAATTCATGTATTTATTCGTTCGTTCATGCATTCATTAGTTCAGCACTAATATATAAATTCCTGCAATCATTCACATTAATTCATTCATGCATTTATTGAATGGTGCATGTATTCATTGGTTCATGCATTCGTTCATTCAGCAATAATTTATTTATTCATGCATTCACTCACACATTAATTCATTCATGCATTTATTCATTCATTCATGCATTCATTAATTCAGCACTAATATATTAATTCCTGCAATCATTCACACATTCATTCATGCATTTATTCGTTCTCTCATGTGTTCACTCATTCTGCAATATATTAAATCACACATTAATTCATTCATGCATTATTCGTTCATTTATGTATTCATTCATGCATTCATTTATTCAGCACAAACTGTCTTATTCATACATTCATTCATTTATTAATTCATTCATACATTTATTTGTTCATTCATGCATTTATTGATTCAGCACTAATTTATTTATTCATGCCTTCATTCACTCATTTAATCATTCATGCGTTCATTCATATACATACTTATTTATCCATGCATTCATTCATGCATTTATTTGTTTTATTTATTTGCATTTATATATTTCATTCAACACTAATATGTTTACTCTTGCATTTATTTGTTTGTTCATACATTTCTTTATTCAGCACATATTTATTCAATCATTCATTCACACATTAATTCATTCATACATTTATTTGTTCATTCATTCATTTACTCATTCAGCATTAATTCATTCATTCATGCCTTCATTCACACATCAATTTATTCATGGATTTTTGTTCATTCATTGATTCATTCAGCACAAATTTATTTATTTATTCATGCATTTGTTTGTACATTTATTCATTCATTCATTCATACATACATTTTTCAAACATTTCCCAACTACGGCTTAACATTATTTTTATATGTATAGTTTAACATTTGTAAACGTATTTGTTGCAATAACTAATTTCTAATCATTGCTTTAGTCTTCAAGATACTAGTATTTAAAGAGACATTTAGAGGCTTCACTATGGTAATTAGGCAAGTGGTTGCAGACACCCAATACACGATATGATCAATGATTTGTTTCGATGAATCAATCAATAATCAATATAATGTCAAATTTACCCTCCACAGCCCTAAATCAGCCAAGAAAAACACACTCAGCAACATATAGTTGAATGTCTTTGTATGTTCTTCTGTACACTTCTGGTTAGATGCATCTTTTGGCAGCTCTAGTGGAAGGCGTGCGTGAACTGTCTGCTCAGTGTGTGAGTGTGTTTCTCCTCAGAGTTTCTCTCATGATGAGCAGTCTCCTGAACCGGTGGATCTGGTGCGCTTCTCTCCATTCCGCTCCAATCGCCACAGTTCAGCCTTCACCGCGGGACATTCACGTGAGTCTGACCACACACACACACACACACACACACACGCAGCAGTGTTTAACTTAAGGAAATGTCTCTAATATACAGTTATTCAGTTTTAATTTTAATTTCAGTCATTTTAACTAATATGCAAATGTGTATATGATTTATTTACAATAAAGTTTGTAATATTTTCAGTTTTTTGTAGTTATGAGGTATAAAATACTTGCTTTGTTAACTGTGTTTGTATGTGTGTGTTTTCATTTGTGTGTGTGTGTGTAGTCACGGCTCCTCGTGCGCTGTCTCCATACCCTGCAGTGACGGCGGTGATGAGGAACCCGGTGTACACGGCCTGGAGCCACTGCGTCAAAACCACTAACTCTGCTTCTGTGCCCTCACACACTTACACACAAGTCAGGTACACACACAAACACACTCTCACACACACATGAGTTTAACTTTCTGGGAAAAGATTCAGCTTATCAGTCACACAGAATGAGAAATGAGAACGTCATCAGTGAGCTCATAGTCAGCTTCACCCCGATACCTGTCACACACACATGACTTTATATACCTCTGTGTTCTGATATGAAACACACACATACCTATGTCCTGATGTGAAACTGATTTTGTGTGCTTGTGTGAATATATATGTGTGTGTGTGTGTGTCAGTCCGCAGCATCAGGGACGCTGGAGTGTGGATCTGAACCACAAGCGTTCGGCTGAACTCTTCGACAACTCTCGCGGCTCAGGAGCACACAACACACACTCCCTGCCCTCCAGCGCACGACAGGGTCTGTATATATACACACACACACACACTCTTACTCTCTCTCACACACGCACTCACACTACAGCTGCTGCAGTTGTTGTTTGGGGATTTAGTTGTGTCATGGCTTAACAAATGCCAACAGAAATCACAACATAGTATTATTACAGTAATGTATACTTGTATTATTTTCATAATAATAGTTTTAGAATTCTATGGAAGCGTATGAGTAGCATAATTCAATTCAAAATGTAATACGCAAAATGGCAATGCAATATGTTAAATGGCAATGTATTTCTGTATTTGAATTTGCATTTTCCAAGACATATGAGCAATGTTTGGTGCAGAATGAAAATGTAAATTAAATTACATTGTTTGCATTTCTCATTTCAAACACTGTTTTAAGATGTAAATCGTATCCACATTTTAAAGCTTCATAAGTTGCAAAATTAAATTGAAAATGCAATACACAAACTGAATAAAGTACAAGCAGAAACTGTAGCAAAATTATCATTTAAATGTTATTTGTCCTAAATGCATTTACACTGGTGTCTAGGAAACACAGGATTACATTTTTGTGTGTAGCAAAATTAATTTTGAAATGTAATACGCAGAACGATAATGCAGTATGTAAATGGCAGTGTATTTCTTCATTTCAGTTAGCATTTTCCAAGACATATGTGCAATGTTTGCTGCAGAATGAAAATGGAAAAAACATAATGCATTTTCATTAACACATCGTGACGAATGAAAGCCGATTTGAAATTGAAAATGCATTCTGGCCTGGCCACGCCCACAGACGGCCACCGTTGCTGCAAGGCGGGTTTTAGGTTATGTCGTCACAGCTGCAGCGAGGACTATTTGGGACATTTGGCAGCATAAACATGGCGAAGTCTGTTCCTCAGCGGCTTCGTGAAGCTGCACGAGCCCTCGAGCGTGAACTGGGAAATACTTTAGAAAACCAATCACCTTCTAGCTCTGTAAAGTTGGCTTTAGGTTTGATATTCTCGCACGAAATTTTAGGGATCATCTGCAAATTATAATAATATCAAACATTATTAAATGTTATTAAATATTATAAAAATTATAAAACACCTGTCTTCAGCTCTGTTCAATCTAAATAGTTTTATTTTGCCACTAATTTAGCGATTTAACATTTTCTCTTCATGTTTCTGTGTGTTTTTGATATTGTGATATAGGTCTTAAATCTAACACTTGATGGTCTTAAAGTCTTAAATTTGACATTGTGATTTCTGCACAAACCCTGATCTCAGGTTTACTCTCTGATATCGGTTAATAACATCATTAAGAGTAATTGTAAAGTTGTGATTGCGTTTATATCTGCAGGTTTGTCTCAGTACCGCGAGCAGCGCATCAAGATTCCCTCCACACCTCGATATGCTCGATCTGTCCACGGCTCTGACAGAGGTGAAGATTAAGCAAACAGATGAAAATAAAACACAATCAATAACAGAGTAACTGAGTCAGATCTGTGTTCAGGATCTCTGTCCCACTCCGACTGCAGCAGCCCCAGTCTCGTGACCCCGCCCCTTTCTCCTATGGACTCCGCCTCCTACACCAGCGGACAATCACAGGCATCAGGCTCCACCCACAGCAGGCTGTCAGTCAGTCCAGTGCCTATAGACAGGAGAAGGGACAGGTATGAATATTATTAAATAATAAAAATGTTCTGTCCTCTTTTATTGTGTTTAGATATTTTATATATTCAGAAAATAAAACAATGCAAGAGTTTATGCTGACTATAAGAAGAAGCAAAGAAAACGCATCAATAATGCTGTGACTTTTTCATGTTAAAAAAATTAAGATGCATTTTGAACTGTGGAGGAACGGAGAACACATCCGCTATAGGGGTATTGATGAACTAACTTAGTGTGTGTGAATGAGTGTACGTTGGTGTTGCAGCCGGAAGGGCATCCGCTGCGTAAAAGGTATGCTGGAATAGTTGGTGGTTCATTCCGCTGTGTTGACCACTGATGAATAAAGGGACTAAGCTGAAGGAAAATGGATGAATGAATAATGATAAGTTGAAAGAGACATTATAAGATTCAGAGACACTGATGACCTCTTTATTTTGTCCATGTCTGTATGTATGAAAGCAAGACACTGTTCACTTCATACGTGTTCACTGAAGCTCATCCATAAAACAAATCATATCAAATAAAGTCGTGCAGGTTTATGTAAACATGAGAGATCTGGTGCAGTCCTTCAGCCTGTGGCTTTTTCTCTAGATGTTTCCCCTCTTCTTCCTCTCCTCCTCTGTTATTAATCTCAGATCTGCTGCTGTTGTGGTTCTCTGCTCTGATTTCTCCTCTGTTCTTCTTCTTCTTGCTGCTCCAGATGTGTTTTGCGTAACAGGTCTTTCCTGAAGCTCTCTCGATCTCAGAGATCTTGGTTTGCGTCTTTACGAACCCTGAGGTTTGTTCACCGTCAGTCAAAACACAAACCAGCAAACTGCCACTGTTTAGCTGCCATCAACATGGACACGTGCTGTTAGTCATTCAGTTGTCTTTTTCTGCAGGATTTCCTGTTATATTTGTCTTCTGGAGAAAGTCTTATTAATAATTTGGCTGAAAACCTTCACTAATTAAATCAAACATATAAATGAGCAATCATAACAATAATAATGTAACATCAATATATCACTACATTAGTGTAAATACAGATTAGTTAACGATTATTTTTCTTATTATCTTATTGATCAGATTTTATTAGATAAAGGAACTCTTTTAATATATCTATAATGCTTTGAACCTGTAATGTTATAATAGATCATGCAGTTGTACACCAGCTCTTCTTCTAGTGTGTGTCTGAGCGCTGCAGTAAAGCAGTGTGTTTGTGTGTTGTAGGCCGTTCATCGAGGAGCCACGGTACGTCACCATCCCCAAAGGGGCGGAGCCTCTGGGTATCTCCATAGTGGGCGGGGACAATGGTGGCATTTTTGTCTCCAAGGTAACAGAAGGCAGCATCGCTCAGAAGCACCACCTGGAGTTTGGAGACCAGCTGCTGGAGGTGCGGCACTGAACACTGACACACAGCTGCTGTACAGAGGGATTGATTAAAGATCATTAAAGATACCGATCAGATTCTGCTCACAGCTGACCACACCTCCTCCCCTCCCTCTGCTCAGCTGAACACGCCCACTCTCTCTCTTGCTCACAGCACAACACACTCACTCTCCTCCCTCGTGCTCACAGCAGACCACGCCCACTCTCCTCCCCCTTACTCACAGCAGGCCATTCCTCTTAACCCTCTTGCTAACAACAGGCCACGCCCCTTATCCGTCTTGCTCACAGCAGGCCACGCCCCTTATCCGTCTTGCTCACAGCATAACACGCCCCTTATCCGTCTTGCTCACAGCATAACACGCCCCTTATCCCTCTTTCTTACAGCAGGCCACACCCACTCTCCCACTGCTTACGGTTGACCCCCCCCCACTATTCCTCTTGTTCATCAGACCATGCCCATTCTCCTTCCTCTTGCTCACAGCAGACCACGCCCACTCTCCCTTCTTGCTCACATCAGACCATGCCTATGCCCCCACTGCTTACAGTTGACCACGCCCCCACTGCTTACAGTTGACCACGCCCCCACTGCTTACAGTTGACCACGCCCCCACTGCTTACAGTTGACCACGCCCCCACTGCTTACAGTTGACCACGCCCCCACCGCTTACAGTTGACCACGCCCCCACCGCTTACAGTTGACCACGCCCCCACCTCTTACAGTTGGTCAACTCTTACAGTTGACCATGCCCCCACCTCTTACAGTTGACCATGCCCCCACCTCTTACAGTTGACCATGCCCCCACCTCTTACAGTTGACCATGC